GCGGGCAGCCAGCCCTCTATCACTCCCCAGGAGCAGTCTGCCAGCTCCCAGGAGCCTGCCAGGGCCCGGAGAAGGCGGGCGCTTTCCTAGTCCAGGGTGGAGATCATGGACCTTATTCAGGTTTGGGGGGGAATGCCCCCACCGTCCATGATATCCACACTAAACGGAGGAATGCGGCCATCTATGGCAGGATAGCTGCCAGCCTGGCCACCAAAGTCCTCATGCGAGACCAGGAGAAGGTTTGCATGAAAATCAAGTTGGTCCAGCAAGACTCCCAACCCTGAGCCCTGAGCTTGCCCTCCCCCTCTTCCCCTTTCTTCGTTTGGGGGGGAATGCCCCCACCGTCCATGATATCCACACTAAACGGAGGAATGCGGCCATCTATGGCAGGATAGCTGCCAGCCTGGCCACCAAAGTCCTCATGCGAGACCAGGAGAAGGTTTGCATGAAAATCAAGTTGGTCCAGCAAGACTCCCAACCCTGAGCCCTGAGCTTGCCCTCCCCCTCTTCCCCTTTCTTCCCCCTTTCCAGCTTTCTCCCTTCCAGCTCCCTCCTCCCAGGGTTCCCCTCCCCTCTCCCAACCTTCCTCCTTCCCTCTCCTGCCTCCTTTCCCCAGTCTCACCAGAGTTTCATTTCCCCCCTCCCAGTTTTGTTAAATAAAGAGAGTTTGTGTTCATGAAAATACATGTATTTTATTTGATATCAGGAAGGGGAGTTAGAGAGGGGTAAGTGGAAGGATGTGAGGGAGGAATGAGGCACAAAGACCCCAGTGGGGCAGACCAGGGTGGAAGCTCTCCCACAGGGCCTCCTGGACACTGACAGCCCCCCCAATGGACTCCCAGATGGTAGCCTGCAGAAAGTTCAGCCCGGCTCACAGCAACGCATCCAAGAGAAGCACCAGAGTGCCATGGGGCAGCTTTAGCTCCATGTTGCCAAGTGCTATGGTGTCCTGAGTGAGGGCAACCAGAGCAAGCAGAAACAAAATGCTTTGCTGTCCCTCATCGAGGTGGGCAAGCAAGCAGGGAAACCTGAGAACTGGCTGTCCAGGCGGGGTCCCTTTAAGCACAGGCCTCAGATAGCCTCAGGCAGCAGCCACACAAAGTAACTCCTGACCTGATGCCCTGCCAGACATGGCTCCAGCAGGTCTTAAATGTGATTCAGTGTCCACTCAGTGTGAACGTGCTGTTTTGAAATAGCAAAATGCTACTTCGAAATGCATTTCGTGTCCTATGGTCATGTCTACACAAACATTTGATGCAGAGCAAGCTGGGCTATAAATCTACAGTGCTCAAGGTCACACATGCTGGTGACAGAGCCAGGAATTTAACCCAGCTCTCCCATAACCTAGACCTCCCTAGATTGAACTAATCAGGCTCTGTTTGCATTCTGTGGTGAGATGGGTGCAGCACAGTGAAACACACAAAAAAGTCTTTTAAAAAACCAAAAATGAAAAAGGGTGTGAGTTGGATAGCTGCTGGGAGGACCAGGCAACCTAGAAATTAAGGTATATCTGCACAGCAGGGCTTAACTTGAAATAACCTATGCAAATTGAGCTACAACAATTGCATAGCTTATTTCAAAATAGCTTATTTCGAAACTGGGATCATCTACACAGCACTCATTTCAAAATAGAGCACTCGTCCTCCGACTTCCCTTACTCCTCATACAATGTGGGTTACAGGAGTAGGAGTAAGAAGTCCTCCAGCTTGACAGTATTTCAACATGATGTCAAAATAAATGCCTGCTCTGTAGACGCAGACTAAGTTATTTTGAAATAATGTTGGTGTATAGACGTACCCTTATTGAGCTAGAACTCTGACCACTTGCCTCTATCAGGGTA